AGAAGAAGAAGAAGAAGAAGAAGAAGAAGAAGAAGAAGAAGAAGAAGGAGAAGGAGAAGGAGAAGGAGAAGGAGAAGGAGAAGGAGAAGTAGTAGGAGAGAGAAGAGGGAGAGGAGAGGAGAAGAAAAGATAGAAGGAAGGAAGAAACAAAGAAAGAAAGACAGAATAAGTACAGGCATATCCTTGAAAACACAAGTTTAAGTGAAATAAGGTTCTGGAGGCAGTTGCTAGCTACCTAATTCCTGATATCACATCAATGTTATGTTAGGGCTTTGCAGTGTTAGGGTAGCATTTGATTTTTTATTCTTAAGAATGTTTTTATTTTTTTTCCTCAATTACACATAAAAATAATTTTTATTCATTTTTTATGATTTTTGAATTCTAAATTCTTTCTCTTCTTCCCATCCCCCCTCAAGAAGGAAATCCTCTTGATACACATTACACACGTGCAGTCATGCAAAACATACTTCCACATTAGCCATCTTGAAAAAGAGAACACAGACAAAAAACAAAACAAAACAAAACCCAAAGAAAAATAAAGTTTTAAAAGTATGCTTTGATCTGCATTCAGGCTCCATCAGTTCTTTCCCTGGAGGTGAATAGCATTTTTCATCATAAATTCTTTAGAACTGTCTTGGATCATTGTATGGCTGAATATAACTAACTGATTCAGAGTTGATCATTGTATAGTTTTGCTGTTACACAGTTGTATACAGGTACAATGATCTCCTGTCTTCTGCTCAGTTCACTTTGCATCAGTTTATAGAAGTCTTTCCAGGTTTTTCTGCAGCCATCCTGGGTAGCATTTAATTTTAATGTATTAATGCTATTATTGTCAGATTACATTGGTCAGGGCAACATTACATAGAGTATGCTATAAAGCATTAAGATATTAATCATAAAAATAATACTTGGGGCATACTTTTAAAAAGAGTCACATTTCCCATGGCAAAGAGCCTCCTAATCTTGGAAGGTGTGAGGGGAGGGTCAGGGTTCTATTTTAAAAGAGTCATGGAAAACCTAGAAATTATCTGAAGTAAAACCAATAGAAATAATTGAAGGAATGGAAAATCAGAAAAATTTTAAAATAGTCTGCATGTATCTAATGTCTTTTCCATGTAAAGAACCCATAATGACTTGTGCTGTCTGGTTTTCCCAGCAGAGATAAATTGTGCTGAATTTATGCACTGCCCGTTGTTTCCTTTTGTGGCCGATGGCAACGGTCGCCAGGTCATCTCTGCATCTCGGTGTTCTCAATGCTTAAAATTCCCCTGGGACTCACCCCACCCCACCCAGGCTAGCTCCTTCTCTTTGGTGCCCCTATGCTCCAAAATATCTCCTCTTTCCTAGTACCCAGCCCAAACTCCCATTTCCTCAGGACATAACACATTTTAGCTAGTTTTAGGAGGAAAGCATTTGATTTCACAAATTCACTCAACTCCACTCTGTTCACCTTCTCAATTAATCAATAAGCATTTATTAAATGCCTACTACATGTCAGGCACTGGTGAGATGAACCCTCTGGGAACTTCTGTTTTATCAGGGGAGACAACACATACACATTTAGATATATACAAAATAAGTGCAAAACAGCTACCGGGTGATTTACCTAGTAACTTGTTAGCCTCAAGAATAATGACTCTCTAATGATGAGATTTCAGTAACAGCATCAGCACAAGTCCTAGCACTAAATAGTTTAGAGTGATACATTTTGTTGTTGTTCGGTTGTTTTTAGTCATGTCCTACTCTTCATGACCCTGTTTGGGGTTTTCTTGGCAAAGATACTGGAATGGTTTGCCATTTCCTTCTCCAGCTTATTTTACAGATGAGGAAATGAGGCAAATAGAGTTAAGTGACTTGCCCAGGGTCACACATAATAAATCTCTAAGGCCGGATTTGAACTTAGGTCTTCCTGACTCCAGACCTGGTGCTCTATCCACTATGCCACTAGTTGCCCATAGAAAGACACATAGCTCAGGCTATCATAGCCAGCATTCTTCCCCCTTCTGCTTTTCCAGTATGCCTGTGCATGCCTGTCTAGAGGCCACACGCTTTTCAATCTGGAACAAAAGCTGTGTTTTTCTCACCATGTGGCCAGCCTTGAGAATCCAGTAGAAAGCAAGGTTCTTGTGGGATTTATAGAAAGCAGATGTATCATTAGACTCAGGATTAACATACAGAGGCTTCCTTTTCATCTGACTAAAAGCAGTCAGCTCAGGCCACTTCAGTTTACGCAACCATGCCTCCTGACCTGTCAGTGATGAGAAAGACAAAGAAATTAACGTTATTAGCTGTCTCCAACAAGACCCTCTCCTATTGCTTGTCAGTGACTGACTACAAAAGGGCTATAACCCATAGAAATGGGCCACCCAGGTCTATTTGCACCACAGAGAGGCACAAGTTTTCATTTTTCCGTGTAATTGCTACAGAGTCAAATACCTCTCTAGCAACCTGATATGGCATTAAGAGACTCCCATAAATAACTGTATTGGCAAGGAGACAGCTCCAAACAGTCAACTGCCCTCAACAGACAAAGAGCAGGCTATGTGGAATGATGACAGTAGTTTGTCAGGCACTTCTCAAATCTGAAGTGGGCACCTGGCCCTCTCCTACCTTTCTAGTTTCCTTCCAAATTATTCTTCTCTGTATTCTTTACTATCCACTGATACTGGCCTCCAAAAGTGGGAGAGGAAGCAAGGCACTATGCATCCTTACACTTCCTGCCTTCTTTCACTCCGGTCCATCCTCCATTCAGTTACCAAAGCGACTTTTCCTAAAACACAGGTCTGACCATGCCCTTCCCATCCTTGCCCCACATTCAACTTCAGTGCTCCCCTTCACCTCCAAGATTACATATAAAATCCTGTATGGTATTTAAAACCCCTCATAACTCATTCCTTTCCTATTTTTTTAGGCTTCTCAAACTTTGCTCCCTTCCATGTACTATTCAGCCTAGTTACACTGGTCTTTTTGTTTCTTGCACAGGAGATGCCATCTCCCAACTTGGTGTATTAACATGGGATGTTCCCCTTGCCTGAAATTCCCTCTCTCCTCACCTCTGCCTCTGGGTTTCCATGATTTCCTTCAGGTCTCAGCTCAAATGCCTTTCCCAGTCCCCTTCTCTCCCATTAGGATGTGAGCTCCTTGACAATAGTGACTATTTTTGCCTTCCTTTGTACCCTCAGCATTTAGCATAGTGTTTGGCACATAATAGTTGCTTAATAAATACTCTTTAACTTGACTTGAAAGGCTGGAGAGGAGATGAAGAGAGCGGAGACAAAGTAGTCCTACGCTTTTATCACAAGGTTTGAGAACTGACTAACAGGGAAGACCCAATAGAAAATAGATAGCCAGCTTCCCAACAAACTTAATATCATCAATTCCACTTGCCTAGTATGTGAATTTTAATCGTCTGTTTTTTTTCTGGTCAATTCCTGAAACTCTCTCCATGTCATCATATCTCTTCCCACCCACCCCAACCATTCCCACCCATGCTATCGACTATGAGATCTAATCGTCTCCCCCTCTTCATCCTCCCCAACCTTCCCTACCCATGGTATCCACTATGAGATCCAATTGCCCATTGTAAATTGTGACGTTGATGCCAGCTTCCAGCAGTTCATCTACAATGTTAATCACAGGCTTCATGAAGTCCTTCTCCATGTTGCTGAAAACTAAACTTGATTGTTCTGCATATGTAGAATGGAGAAAAAATGGATTAGGCTTCACATAACCAGAATAAGAGGAATCACTGGATACATGGCACAAGTAGTTTCAGTATATAATATACTTTAATAGTACTGTTCTAAGCAGTGAATCAATTACAGGTGCTTGGTTAATATGGCCCTAATTCAATAAATGAAAAAGCATTTATTAAATGCTTCCTATGTATACACTATGTTAAGGGCTGGGGATACAAAAAAAAAGGGCAAAAATAACCCTGCCCCTCAAGGAGTTTACATTCTAATGGACAGAGATAATACATATAAGGGAATGGTAGTTGGAGAGGAGTATTTTGTTTTGGAAAGTTACTAGGTTGGTGAGTAAAGCCATAGGGAAGTGGATTGGCACACCTTTGCCAATATTGAGTTTATTATGGTTGTGGAACTGGAAGGGGTGTGGTGGGAGGGAAGGGGTGGCTGGGGAGGAAACCACGGCTGAGAGCAGGTCAAAATAGTAGGCAGTGAAAGAGTTCACCAAAATAAGAGTTCTAGAATAAAAGGGTAAAGTTCTCAGGGCATGGTCCTAACACACTCTCCTTAACTCTGTGATAACCAAGGATGGAGAGAAGGATGGGCAAGTATGAAAAGAACCACTGGCACATTTCATGCAAATGCCTGGTAATCACTTGGCAGATTTCATTACATCTTATTTCAGAAGAAACTAGACTTTGGGGGAGTAGTTTGCCTAATGTCACAAAGTGAGATAGAGGCTCAGAAGCCAGATGTTTCTAGGTCTCCATTAATCATTTTGTGCTAGGCACTACCAGAAAACCTTAACAAGTTAAGCCAATTCATATAGCCTCAACTATAGTTTCTCCTTAAAAAAGTGGTACAGAAAGGGGCAATGATGGTATCCAGAGGCAAAGTGACCTAAAAGAAAGAGCCTTGGGCAGGAATTGAGAAGACCTAAATTTGGGTCCTGGCTTTGCACTAGCCATGTAACTTTGGGCAAGTCATTTATATCCTCTGGCCCTAGGCTACACCATCTGTAGAACAGGGACAATTCCTTACAGGTTTGAGGGGATAATAACTGAACTGACAGAAGAAAGACACTTAAAAAAAAGTTTCTTGTTTTAAACAAAGCACTATACATACACACACCATCATTCTTATCAGTCCTATTAAAGCATTTACAAGGAGATAGCTGTACAACCCATGTCACAAAGGTGTTATAAAGAAAGGAGGAAGAGGGGGAGGAGGGTAAGGAGAAGGGGAGGAGGAGGAAGAGGAGAAGAAAGAGAAGGAGATAGTGGAGGAAGAGGAAAAGGAGGAGGAAGAGAAGGAGAAGGAGGAGGAGAAAGAGAAGGAGGGGGAGGAGGAGAAGGAAAAGAAGAAGGAAGAAGAAGGAAGAGAGGAGAAAGAGGAGGAAGAAGAGAAAGAGGAGGAAAGAAGAGGAAGAAGGAGAAGGAGGAGGAGAAGGAGAAAGAAGAAGAGATGGAAAAGAAGAAAATGCACATTATAGACTAGTGTTTGAAAAGCCCAAGAACATAAATGACTGGGCAAATGATTGTAACAAGGATTGATGGCAAAACTTGAAAATTACATTTAGATTACATTTACCCTCAGCTCCATATAGCTACTTTGATCTAAATAGAAGGGAAAAATGGAAGGAAGAATTGCTCGTCATCAATTGCTTAGGGAAAAATTCTTAGCCAAGCAGAGTTCATAAGAGATAAAATAGACAATTTTGCTTGCATAAAATTAAAATGCTTTTGCATGAACACAATCAATGTAGCTAGGATAAGAAGTCAACAAACATTTATTAAATGCCTGCAATGTGCCAGGCACTGTGCTAAGTGCTGGAAGGGAAGATGTCAAGTGGGAAAAAAATCTTCGCCTCTTTGTATCAAATATTGCTGATCAAAGTTTGTTATCTAAGATATATAGACAAGTGACACAAATTTAAGATGAAGAATCTGATAAATAAGTAGTTGAAAGATGTGAATAAAGAATTTACAGAAGAAATGCAAATGATCAGCAATTATAATAAAAAAAAATGCTCCAAGGCACTAATAAGAGAAATATACATTAAAATAACTCTGGGGTTTTACCTTACACCCCATAAATTAGTAAATATGATTAAGTATAGGCTCAGTCCATGTTGGAGTTTTTTGTTCTTTTGTTTTTTGTTTTTTTTTAGGCAATTGGGGTTAAGTGACTTGCCCAGGGTCACACAGCTAGTAAGTGTAAAGTGTTTGGTCTGAGGCCGGGTTTGAATTCAGGTCCTCCTGACCTGATGTTGGAGGAGTTTTGAAAGAGGCATACTGACACACTGTTGGTGCAGCAACAAATTGGTCCAACCATTTTAGAAAAAAAATGTGGAATTATGCAAGAAAAATGATGGAATTGTTCCTACCTTTTGCCCCAGAGCTCCCACTAGGGGCATATATTCTAAGAATGACAATTATAGAGGGAAAGGCACATGGAAAAAAGTATCTGTAGTAGCATCATTTATGTTAGCAAATACACTGGAAATACAGTGGATGCCCCCAAGTTGGGGGATAACTGAATGGATTGTGGCATATGAATGTAATGGAATATAATAGTGCCATAAGAAATAACAAATATGAGGAATTCAAAGATATATGGAAAGGCTTGTATGAAGTGAAGACAGTAAAACCACAAAAACAATATATACAATCAATATAATAATGAAAAAGAAAATATCATTAAAAGCCTGATGAATTCAAATAGAAATCAGTCTTGGTTTTGGAGAATGGAAAACATGTTACACATCCCTTTTCTCAGTAGTGGTAGAAACCTATGGGTGTCAATGCTGTATACATTGCCAGACTTGGTGACTTGCTCAGCCTGTTTCTGCTTATTACTTTGTTACAAAAGCAGATTCAAAGTTGGGGTAGGATATTGGGAATTAAACAGTAGGCATCGATAAAATATGGAGGAAAAGTATACTGCAAACATTAAAGTTTATAAACAAAAATGTGAGTTATCTTCTCCAAAACCCTCTACAAATAGAACCTAATAATATTAACTAATACCTCCCCAGGTGACAAAATCTGGAATGATTTTGAGCTTCTTTCTGATGGGTCCATTCATGAGCTCACTTAACTTATCCTGGTGCAGCTGTCTCACATGGCGGTGATAAAGTCGAACTGAAACAAAACCAGCCTTCATTGAGTCATTGGACTGAAAATAAATCCAAAAGGAAAAAAAAAAAATTGCACGACACCGTCTTTCTTGCAAAGACTCCAAAGTGAAACTACTTGAAAGATCATGTTACAAACATCAGTATGACGTCTCATAGCTTCAGGGACACTGATATGGTAGGGTTAGAGTTTGGGTGGGAGAAGTTATGCTTGTAAAGTGAGTGTTTTAGTTGAAAGATAGGAAAGAATAGCTTTGGCTGTCCCCCAAAGAAATACAAGTTGAAAATGAAGATAGTTTGTTACTTTTGAAAGGTGAACTTCATTCCTTTGTTTTTGAACTCTAAGAGAACCAAAGTTAGGATTAGGGATGCTTTAGGGTTGGGAGGGGAAGAGAAGTAGCTGCTCCTGTTGAGGGACATTTAGGGGACGTGGTTGAAGAAAGAGAGGAGAGCTGAGATTTTCAGTCCCTGGGGATATTTAGGAGCATCAGAAAGTAGCTTGGAAGCTGATAGAATTTAGGGTACCTATGAATGCGGTAGGACAGAAAGAATCTCAGCAGTTGTAGTGAGAAGGTTCTGCCTGTGTATGTATTCCTATGAGATTAGCAAGTTAACAGGAGAGATGCTCTGGCAAAAGTCTAAGTTAGTGGGTACTAGTGCCTGTGCAGAGCTTGGAAACCCTGGTGGTGTGTTTAGAACTTGAACTGGGGAAAGAGGGCATGAAGTCAGACCCTGAGCACTACATAAGGCTGTGTGTAGCCTGGTTGCACCCAAATACACCACGGCATGGAAAGAAATGCAGTGAAAGACTATGAGATCAGATTCTGTCTAGTATGTAGCTGAATCCTGGGCTTGGGAGTTCCCTACTGGTTAGTCACAGATGCAGACTGCCTGGGTCAGGGGAGGCTGCAGTCTTATACCAGAAGTCAAATCCCAGGGCATTTACTAAGTACTTACTATGCATCAGGCACTGTGTTAAGCCCTGGGGATACAAATGGAAGAAAAAAAGAGATAACAAAAACAGCTTACCTATAAATTCAATAATTTGCAAAGAGGTGGGAAGTCAGTTAAAAAGGATTTTCAGCTTGGAAATTATGAATCAATAAGGCATTTGAACTAGATAGGCAGATAGGAATTTTTCAAGTCTGTTTCCCCTTGAAGTCAATCAACAAACATTTATTAAGCACTTACTGTATGCCAGGTTCTGTACCATAAACTGGGGACATAAAGAAAGGCAAAAACAGTTCCTGAGTACTTTTTCAGGGTATGTATGACCTAAGGTCACCAGGCCCAACTCACCTAGATGATCCTGGGTGAATTCTGGGCTTGTCTTCATTGTAGACTCAGGAGGATTTTTATTTAAAATGTTGTAAAAGTTCACTCCATCTGTGTCCTGAAATTAAATTAAAAGTCATGCTGCTCTTACTTGCTTGTCACACACTTTTTTCTTTAGATCCTGAACCCATGGGTCTGATAGCTGAATTTATCCCCAAACAGACTTCTCTTCTCACCTGCTCCACAAACGTTTCTGCATCTGCCCACAGCTGGGTAGCCCATTCATACAGTCCCTTATTCATAGCATCTAGAATTTTCTCTCCAATTTTTGTCATATCTGTTAGACTTCTGTCATCCAGAAGAGACTAGAATGCAAATAGAGAAGAAAAAGAGCACTGTTAATTTAAAAGCCTAACCTCGGTTATATTCTGAGGATGAGGATCCTATTGGTCTCACAGAAAGTCTGATTTATCATAGTAAAATAAAAATCTGAAAAACAAATATCAAGCAATTGTCTGGAATTTTGGGGAAAGAAGTAAAGATACCTAAATATAAAATGTTATATTACAAAAATAATAGAGAATAGAAGAAGGTATCATTAAGATCTGTGGCTGGGGGGAGAATTCTTTACCAGTCAAGTGATAGAAGAGATCACTCATACACACCCACAACCACACACCCACACATCCACACCCACACACAAAGACAATTTTGATTAAAAGAGCTTTTGCATATATGAAATCAATGCAGCAGAAAAAAGGAGAAACTGCCAAGTGGGAAGAAATCTTCACGTCAAATGTCACTGATAAGGATATGACATCCAAGATATAAAAGAAACTGGTACAAATATAAGACTGAGTTATTCCCAGTGGATAATATCCAGTGGATAATATCAAAGGATATGAATAAACAGTTTCCAAAAGAAGAAATGAAAGTTAAATGATGATACCAAAAATACTTTGATTCACTAATAAGAGCAATGTGATTTCAAATAGTTCTGAGGTTTCACTTCACATAAATAAAACAGCAATGTGACAAAAAAAAAAAAGAGGAAACAGTCAAATATTGTAGTGTCTATGGGAAGATAGGCATTGCTAGTAGAATTATGAATTGGTCCAACCATTCCAGAAAACAATTTGGAATTATATAAGGAAAGCTACTAAATTGTTCATATCCTTTGATCTATAGATCTCACTACTGAGGGATATACCCTGAGTAGGTCAAAGACAGTCAGTTACCAAATGAGCAATTTATAAAGCATTTGATTCATTCCAGGCACTGTGATAAGCATTATGAAATACAAATAAAGACACCAAATATACCAAAATATTCATAACACCATTTTTCTATGGTGGCAAAGAATTGGACACAAAGTGAGTATCTCCTAATCGGAAAATGACTGAATAAACTAATGGAATATTATCATGCCATGAGAAATAATTAAATTCAAGAATTCAGAAAGACATGGGCACACTTTGATGAACTAACACAGAGGGAAGGCAGAAGAACCAAGAAAATATACATAATGACTAAAATAATTTAAATGAAACAAATACTAATAGAAAATGGAATTTTGAATAATTATAATGAGCAATCTTAGTCCCACCCTCCCGATCATGTAACATGCACCCTTCCCCTTCGAAGAGGTAGGACACTATGGAGAGAAGACTACAAGTCATTGTCATCGAGAGTGTTCATTGTATTGGTTGTTTTTGTATAGTGGTTTCTTCTTGAGTACCAGGGAGGTTTTAATGTGGGGGTGGGGATGGTGGTGGTGGTAGTGGTGAAGGAAAGGAATGGGAAGGGTCTCTATCCAGATATAACTATGATGTAAAAAACAAAGGGCATCAATTTAAAAAATCTCTTCAGGGAAGAATTTCCATGCAAAATAGCTTAAGTGTATTTAACTGATGACAGCTGCCTTCAATCAAGGACTGTTAAAACACGAACAGTTGTTCATGTGCCTGTAAATCTGATTTATTTACTCATATTTTCTGGAGGCTGGTTGTTCATTAAAAAAAAAATCACCATTCTCATTTTAACCTCCAAGGATAATTAAATAAATTCGTTGTCAGGTTGGTTAAAAAAAATGGCAATTTGAAGACAATTCAATACAAACACAATTCCAGACTTTCATGTTTCCAGTTGAAGGAATTTAGTTGCTAGATATAATAAAGGGAATAAAAGAAATAACACTTACCATGCTATACAGATAAGGTCCCCAGGAAAGCACAGAATCTAAAGAGAACCACATATATCCAGAATGAATAAAGCAAATTTGAAGCAGCTTTGTTTTCAAGAGAGAAAAAGCAAAACTTAACTTATACTCCTAAACAGAATTTTGAAATATTTATTTCATAACTTCCTGTCTCCTTAACTCAGAATCATACTCTTTGTGATACTCATGGATTTCTCTGTGGTTAGGAGATGGGGACAGGGTGGGGTGCATGCTCCAAAGATGAGTGGCAAGACTTAATTGCATGTTTAATAAATGTTGTCATAAATAATTAAGTCTCCCTACAGAAAGGTAGTTGACAGGTAGGTTGTGGCTTCTCTGCCCATTTCCCAGTCTTCTGGTTGCTTTAAATACTTGCTCATCCCCACATTATTGGCCTATACGCTGTTTGTTCCCCATATTCTAAGGCTACTGTTTCAGAGAATTAAGAAAGGCTGAGGACAAGTCTAACATACCCACCAAACTCATTGGCATTAGCTTCGCAGAATGTTGGGTTTGTTTTTTGCTTTTTTTTTGTAGTTTTACATAAACAGGAGGAATAAATGAACCTGCCATGAACCTAAAGACCCAGAGCCTGGGAAAATTCCCCCGCCTAACTGTGCACTTATGGAATATTGGGTTCAATACTAGCTGCCAGATTTTAGGCAGGAAGCTGAAGACCATGTTATCTGAGGACTTGCCACAAGAACAAGTTTGCTGACTTTGGGAGAGAAATAAGGAAGGTGAAAGGTGAAAAAGGAAAACTATATGATTGTCATCTTCAAATATTTGAAGAACAGTCATGGGGAAGTAAGATTAGGGGATTCTAATCCCCCTAATTAGATTTTAAACTAATCCCTCCTATGCAGCACTAGAAGGCAGAAATAGGAAAAATAGGTAGAAGTTTAAAGGGGGAAGATTTTGGTTCAAAATAAGATGAATTTTCTACAATTGGAGTTGTTCAGTACAATGAGATGTCTTGCAAGAGTAAATTCACCATCATTGGAAATGTTCAGTGGTGTAGAGGAGAGTCCTGTCTTGCTCTGGGTTGCAAATTAGATTAAATGACCTCTGAGGTTCCTTTTATTCAAAGGCTCTATGATCAAGAAGGAAGCCTCTCAGGTCCTAGGGATACTTTAAGGCCATAGAAGCTTAATTGCCTTCTAAGAGCCAAAACTCCGAATGAAAAATGAAAAATGAAAAGCAATAGCTCTTAGGGGTGACTCAATTCATTTCAAGTGATTTTCATCCTATTTCAGAAATGGCAAGAATAAGGGCAAAAATGACCCATCATCAGAAACATACGAAACAAGGCTGTGTCCATATATGAGACAATAAAGCTATCTTTTAAGTGGAGTCACTGTATTTTCTTACTGACAGCCTTACCCACAGGAGGGATATGTACAGCACTAAACCAACATCTACCTGAATCAGACTCCAGAAACCACACCCCAAAATCTTCAGTATTCAAATTAAATATAAAATCAGCTAACTTATCTGTGGCTGGGACAAGAAAGATAATGAAATTGGGAGGGCGAAAAAAGACCATCTGTTGTAATATGCATCTATTCAACAATTTCTAAAACAAATGGAAATTTCCTTTCCAATGCATCCTATGAAGCTCTGGGAGTCTTTTTTAATATTGGAGGAGGACAATTGGTCAAAAGCTGCTGTCCTCTCCAAGGGGCTGCAGAGTCAGGATATCATGCTAGTCATGGGACTAAAACACAACTAAAGGCTTATGGGATGAGAAATGGGAGAGAAGCCTTACCTACAGGGGAAATCCAGGAATCACCCAGGGCAACACCAGCAAAATTGCAATTTATACTGCCCTTTTGCATAGCCTGAGGGAAGAAAAGCACATAAGCATCAGAGTTCAAATCTTGGCACCATGTGTTGGTTAGTCTCTGTGTAACCCTAGGCAAACTACTTAACCTCTCTGGGTCTCAGTTTTGTTGTCTGTAAATTAAATGAGACAGACTAGATGATCTTAGGAGGTCCCTTCCAGCTCTAAATCTGTGGCCCTATGATCTTTCTCACACTTAGAGAGGCAAATTTAAGTCTAGCTATCCCTTGATTTGATAAAAGGTGATATAGAAATCTTCACCCAATCTATTTCACCAATACAGAAAACTTCTCTTTCTGTGCCTTTGCCTTAGCCTTCCTTCATGTCTAGAATTTGCTCCTTTCTCACCTGGGAAGAGAATCTCTCTCTTCCTTCCAGATGCAACCCAAGCACCATATTCTATGGCAAACATTTCCTGATCCTTCCATACCTAGTGCCCTCCCTCTCTAACTACCTTGTATTAAACAATAATGGATTAATTTTCCATACACTTAAAATGTCAAATCCCCCAACTGAATGTAAGATCCTTGAGAATAGGAATCTTCTAATTGTCTTCTAGGAGTCAAAGCTCTTATCTTTTTTTTTTTTGGGTATTTGTATCCCTAACACCTAGGACAGTGCCAGGCATATAAGTGCTTCATAAATGCCTGTGGATAGATCTGATGGATACTCACATCAGAGTTATGATGTAATGAAAAGAACACTGACTGAATTGGGGGGTCAAAAGAACTAAGGGTGAATCTAAGTCCTGAAACTTAAGTGACTTCACTTAATCTCTTTGAACCTCAGTTTCCTTATCTGTAAAGCAGCATCGGTACAGCTTACCTTGTGGGTTATTTCAGAGACTGAAAGAGGTAATGTATACATGAAACACTTTGTAAAACATATTGGTGTTGTTATAAGGCGCCACGTAAATGTAAGCTATTATTATCACTGTTATAGAAATATGAGGGCAGAAAGCCTCCACTAAGGTTCTCTTCTGATACAAGGAGGTGCTGGTAAAGGTTCTGGAAAGTCTTCCAGGATGGGCCCAGTAATAGACTATAGGTGAGTCATCTGAGAACTAGCCCAGTAAAGATCAGAGAGGCTCAGCACCAAGTTTATCTACAGGGTGATTTTCTGGCAACAGAAAGTTATGAAAACTGTCATGATGGATGAAGTACCCATATCAGTGAATCAAGGATACTAGCAGTAGGCATAGAGAGAGGCAGTCTAACAAAGAGGCTAGAGTGCTGGACTCAGAAAATCTTGCTTTAGACACTTACTAACTCAGGTGTTTAGTCGTTTCAGTCATATCTGACTCTCCCTGACCCCATTTGGAGTTTTCTCGGCAAAGATACTAGAATGGTCTGCCATTTTCTTCTCTAGCTCATTTTACAGATGAGGAATTGAAGCAAAAAGAGACTTGCTCACGGTCACATACCTAGTAAGGGTCTGAGGCCAAATTTGAACTCAGGTCTTCCTGACTCTGGGCCTGGAACTTTATCCACTGTGCCACCTAGCTGCCCTATTATCTCTGTGATTCTGGGCAAATCATTTAGTCCCTCTGTGCCTCAGTTTCCTCATCTGTAAAACAAAGAAAATAAGAGCACCTACCTAATGGGTTGTTGTGATATCTTCTACAAAGCCCATTGCTAACCTTAAAGTACTATGTTAATGTCAGCTATTATTATTATCATAGAAATTGCACGAGCTACTATTGCATGCTTCATCACACAAAAATGAGTCTGATCAAGACCATCTTTACATGAACCATAGGCATATGAGAAAGAGGAAGTGAGTCTCTAGTGTAACTGCAGTGATATTAGCTGTTCTTGGTTGGGCTGTGCTAATACAAGAATGACAATATTACCTAAATCATTTTACAGATTCAAAGGCATACCAGTCAAATTGCTACAGAATTACTTTATTAGATTAGAAAAAATAGTCACAAAATTCATCTGAGAAACAAAAGGCCAAGAACTTTGAGAGAATTAATGAAAAAAAAAATAGGAAGGGGAGCCTAGCAGCACCAGATCTCTAATGGAAGTAAAAGGAGTAATCATCAAAACTATTTGGTCTCACGTGAAAAATAGAAAAATTGATTTGTGTAAACAGGTTAGGTATGCCAGACCCAGAAACTGTGACACTTAGATAGTAGCATAATGTTCAATAAATTAGAGAACCCCGACTACTGAGGTAAAGACTATTTGGCAAAAACTGCTAGAAAAGCTGGAAAGCAGTTCAATAGAAATTAGGTTTGGTGTGATGGAATTTTACTGTGCTGTAAGAAATGATGAGCTGGTTGATTGTATAAAAAACATGGAAAGACTTACATGTAATAAGGAAGAGTAAAATGAACAGAAGCAAAAGAATATTGTAGACAGTAACAGCAGCATTGTTTGATGAATAACTGTGAACAACTAAGTTATTCTGAAGAATATAAATACTCAAATCAACTACAAAGGATAATGAATAATTAAATAGATAATAAATAATAATTATAAATAATAATGTAAAATAGATAATAAATAAATAAATACAAAATGCATGAAGAATGATGCTATCCACCTCCAGAGAAAGAACTGATAAATGGAAGTATGCATAGTATGGTGTGTGTGTGAGAGAGAGAAAGAGAGAGAGAGAGAGAGTTTTCTCTAGCATGTGGGGGGCAGGGAGGGAGACATTTTTGAATTTAAAATGTAACCAAAAAGTTTTTTAATTTAATTAAAAAAATTTTAAAAAGAAATTAGTTTTAGATCAACATCTGCCACTATCTATTATTAAAATCTCTAAATGAATAAATGACCCACATATATGAAGTCATATCCTAAACAAATTAGGAGTAGGGAAGAACATATCTTTCATAACTATGACGAGAGAGAAGAGGAATGCCATCAGTTGGGAAATGGTTGAACAAGTTGTGGAATATGATTATGATGGAATACTTTTGTGCTATAAGAAATGACGAACAGAATGGTTTTAGAAAAACCTGGGAAGACCTATATAAATTGATACAAAGTGAGGTGAGCAAAACCCAGGAGAAAAATCTACACAGTAACAGCAACATTGTAGCAATGATCAATTGTGAAAGACTTAGCTACTCTGATCAGTACAATGATTCAAAAGAGCTCTGAAGGACTTATGATGAAAAAATACTATCCATTTCCAGAGAGAGAACTGATGAACTCTGAGTGTGGACAGAAGCACATTTTTTTTTCCTTCCTTCATGGCTAATGTAGAAACATGTTTTACTGCACACGGTAATGGGTATTGTATTTCTTGCCTTCTCAATGGGTGGGGGAGGGATGGAGTAAGGAAGAGAATCTAGAACTGGAAATAAAATAAAATTGAATTTTAAAAATGGGGGAAAAGTTCTTGTATAAACACACATGGGACGCAGAGAATCATGGTAGATAAAAGGGTCAGTTTTGATTACATAAGGTTGAAAAGTTTTCACACAAACAAAATTAATGCAGTTAGAATAAGAAGAAAAAAGCTAATTGGGGAAAAAAATCTTTGTTGTAAACTTTTCTGATAAAGGTCCAGTATTCAAGATATACACTGTGTCCCAGTTCAGTTTTAAGTTACAAAAATTGCACTAAGAGTTGTGGGCACATTTATACGAAATTGTTACAAATATATAAGAAACAAATCTATTCCCCAATACTTAAATGGTTAAAGAATATGATCAGGCAGTTCTCAAAAGAAGAAGTTGAAGTTATCAATAATCATATGAAAAAATGCTCCAAATTACTACTTTGCATTTATTCTCCAGATGTCAAAGACAGAGAGAAAGGACCCATATATACAAAAATAGTTGCAGGACTTTTGTTGTAGCAAAGAACTGGAAACTAAGAGGTTCCCATCCATTGGGGAAGGTATGAAAAAATTATGATATGTGAATGTAATAGAATATTCAGAGAAACCTGGGAAGACTCTTGTGAACTGATACTGAGTGGCAAAATAAGAAGAACTGAATAAATAAAAATTGAATAAGTGAATAATTTATACTATGACTATACCATAAAAAAAGATTCAATATCTATGATCCAGTGCCTAATTATGCCTCCAGAAGGCTGATGATAAAGCATGTTTCTCCTCCACCTTTTAGCTAAGATGTGATGGACGACAAGAGTGCAATGAGACATATATTTTCAGCTACAGCCAACGTATGGACTGGTTTTGTGGGACTCTACTTATTTGTTATAGGGGAAGACATTTGAGGGAAGAAGGAAGAAATAAAAGAAGTGGGAATAGTATAGTGATATTTTTAAAAAAAGGAAAGAAAACGCATTGATGAATCATTTTTTAAAAAAAGTAAAGTGAGCAGAGGGAAGGTCAGAAGGGAACAGACATGCTGGTTGGGACTGTTAGAACTACCATGTTAAATTTAAAATATATATTAAAACAAAACCCCCATGGATTGTAGGTAGTAGAGATTCACAACTTCATATGTAATTTTCTTTTTCTTTTTGTTCTTGGTACAGGGAAATGCTCATATTTGTTGATGTCTGTCAAGGTCATAATATTAAAATTAGGAAATATTAAGTAATATTAATTAGTTATTAATTATTCATGGTACTATGTCATTTTGACTATAACATTAAAAAGGAAAGTATTTAAAATATAAACTTCGGGCTCCTTTTTGTTGTATGACTGATTCCAAAAAATGTTAAAAAAAAAAACTAGAGTGATCAATCAACCAACCAACAAGCACTTGGTAAGCCCCTACTATGTGCCAGGGTGCTGAGGTTACAAAGAAAAAAGTGACTCCACTCTCCAGGAGCTTCCTTTCTATTGGGGGAGACAACACGTATATACAAAACATATATCTATTAGCAAATACTGGTTTGGATGATTGGACTGGAATGCCTGACTGATACCAATGATGAAATAGTTTAATTTATATGATGCCTTTCTTCAGAAGAGCTCAAAAGTTTTTAGGTGTCTTTGATAGATGTGGGGTGTAAAGACTATTATCCCCATTCTTCAGATGAGAAAACTAAGGCCTAGAGAGGTAAATGACTTACTCTACAATCACATACCAAAAACCAAGTCTTCTCCCCTGTTACCTTGTAAAGCTCTAGGGAAATCCCAGCAGCCATCTTCCCTCCATAGGATTCTGAGAAAATGTAGAATGGAATTGTCTAGAGAAGAAAAAAAAGATGTGTAGAAAAGTCAAAATTCTAAAGGTCTTTAAAATGAGCAAAGTCCATTCCACACTGTGTGTAAGCAAAAATAAACCTGCTGTAGTTTCTTCTGAGCCATGATTAGGGTATAATCAAACCCTGATGAGGATGCAGAGTTCCGGGCCACTCTGTAAAGTTGTTGTCAATTTTATCAGTAACTGATATTCTAATTTTTACAGAAATTACTCCAAAACTGTGTCACTGGATTGAGAGTTTAAAAAATTCACCTTAAAGTAAAGACATATTTGTTCTGAGGGAAGCAATGTTGCTCCTGCTAGCATTGGATTTGACCATCACAGAATCTTTGCTTACCTTGAATTCTGGCCGAGCATCGAAAAAATTTTGTAGGAGAACCAGCATGTCAGAAGCCACCATGTCAAGATTTTTGGCATATGCATCGCTTTGATTTGCAAAGCTAAATCCAGTGCCCACAGGGTTGTCCACAAATAGAAGACTGGCTGATTGTAGCTGTGTGCCAGAGAGAAAAGACAAATAGCAAAGGCCATCAACCAGGCAATATTTCCTGAGCAGTAGCCAGTATACAGCCCACATACTAGTAAAAAGTCTTATTCATGAACACCACTGAGGTGAGGCTCTCATGCATTAGGATCTTGGGACTTTTGTCCCAACAACATCAGGCAGATGAGAGTGGGGAGAGAAGGAAATTAATGTTTTCTACACCGTCCTGGATCCTCCCTCTTCCTTCTCATAAGACTGCACCACTTTAAGTACTCAGGATCATAGCATCAGAGCATCATAGATCTAAGGCTGACATTGAGGTCATCTAGTCTGACCCCTTTATTTTTTATTTTATTTTAGTTTTTGGCTAAGCAATGAGGTTAAGTGACTTGCCCAGGGTTACACAGCTAATAAGTGTTATGTATCTGAGGCTGGATTTGAATTCAGGTCCTCCTGAATCCAGGGCCAGTGCTCTATCCACCGTGCCACCTAGCTGCCCTTGACTCCTTTATTTTACAGATAAGAAGAGTAAGATCCAGAGAGGTTAGGTGACTTCCCGAGGGTCACACAAATAGCAAGCGGCAGAGATATCTGATAAGGCCCATGTGAAATTGTCCCATGCCATTTTGACCAGCTATTTCAGAGCAATGGTAACATATGCAAGGACTAAAATAACACTGCAGTTATCTCCCTTCCTCTGCCTCCTGCTCCCCAAATTCAGTCTCACACTAGCCAGGATACTCTAAGACATTTCTAAAGCTTCTTGGACTGACAGAATGTTGGAGCTGGTAGAAATCTGAGAGATATCCATAGGCTGTACTTGTGAAAACCCAGGCCCAAAATGAATGGTGGTTACATACTTAAGCTCACACAGCCAGTGAGCAGCAGAGCTGGACTGAAACTCTGTCCCACTTGCCCCTATTCTTTCTATTGCAAAGGGTTCTTTCTACCACACTATGCTGCCTCTGGAGGGGGCTGAGAGGCTTGGAAAGAAAGCAAAAATGGTCCTCTGAGCATTAGAAGGGGGAAAAACTTCCTTTAGCCATGAGGGGGATGTCCTATAATAAAATATAAGCAATGAATGTGTTATTATTCACTATTTGCCTTTGGAACTTAAGTCAGTCCAGGATTTAAAATTGCATGCTTGGAATTTCATTTGCTTGTCTGCAAATGAGGCAAGACTAGATCAGATCAATGGGCAGCTAGGTGGCACAATGGATAGAGTGCTGGGCTTGGAGTCAGGAAGACTCATCTCCCTGAGTTCAAATCTGGCCTCAGCCACTTACTAGCTATGTGATCCTGGGCAAGTCACTTCACTCTGTTTGTCTCAGTTTCTCATCTATAAAATGAGCTGGAGAAGGAAATGGCAAACCACTCTAGTAACTATGCTGAAAAAACCCCAAATGAGGTCAAGAAGAGTAGGACGTGACTGAAACAACTGAACAACAACAAAAGATCAGCTCACAGATACAGTTAACAATAATCTTCACTATACCCAGGTAGTTTTCCTTGGTTTGAGCTCCTCATCAAGGGGACCAATTTCCTCAAAGTTTCCAAATCCAGTGCTGGAACCTCCTGGACCCCCCTGTAACAAATAAATAGAAAATAAATGAGTGTATGTCAATGAAAAATGTAGTCAAATCACAACAATGTAAAGAAAGAGAAGAAAACAATGAAACTGAATGTTGTGTAGTTGTCTTGGGTCTAGAGTAAAGAAAATGTACCTCCCTCTACTTTTTGTAGGCAAGGCGGGGGGAGAGAGAGAACTATGGGTGTGGCACACTCAATGTATTGTCAGGCCCAGCAGATAGGTTGCTGGTTTTACCGAACTGCTGTATCTACTTTCTTTTTTATTCTTTGTGATGAGGGAGGGAAGTAGAGAGGGATGTATTCAGAAATGAAGATATCAATTTTTTTAAGAGAAAATTATAGATTACACTGAAAACAACTAAGTCATCTGGAAACTGGAGCTATCCTAATGCTCATTTTAAGGAGAGAGAAGACCTCACTGGAGAGCCCCCAGGGCTCTGGGCTCCAAACAGGACTGGACTTAGCGGCTGCATGAGCATGAGTTAGAGTACAGTATTTAGAGCTGAGAGGGATCTTAGAGATAAAATAGTTCAAACCTCTCATTTAACAGGGAAGAAAACTAGGGCTCTAAGAGGTTAAGTGATTATCCCCAAATCTCATAGTCAAGTCAATAGCAATGCTCCTAGGTATCCAGCTGGCATATTATCCTGTAAATCCTGCCCTAGGATGTTCCATCTTTATTGCAAGCAAAGGTCTCCTGACCCATAGCCCACTGTTCTTTCTACTGCACTACCCTCAGGGTCACACTTCTATAGTGAAAAACCCTGTTGACAAAAGTGACTGTGAACTACTGAGGGGACCCCAGAACATGGGGCAGCTGTAATTCAATGGGTTCAGTGGTTGATTGGACATTTCCATTTGAATGTCCCATAGGCATCTCAAACTCTATATGTCCAGAAAAGAACTCATCATCTTTCCTTCCAAATCTCTTCCTAACTTCCCCATTTCTGTCAAGGGCACCATCATCCTACCAGTCATCCAGGTGATGAGTCATCCAGACTCATTTTTGACTCCTCCCTAGTGGAAAGAAGGGATAGCTAGAATACTGACACTCCACTCGGATGCCTGTCGTAGAGTGACCCTAAAACTATGTAAAAGACTACCAATAAATACTAGTATTTCAGTGATGATACAATATCACAGGATTCTAGAATCCCAGAACTAGATAGAACTTTAACGAATTATCAGATGGTCCAGTCCCCTATCTCCAATCTCCAAGACTGTATGGTCTGTTCTGACGGATCTCTATGGATAAGATGCCATAACCTCCTTTTGAAGGCTATTCTAGAGTTTCAAATCATCCTTATGGGAAAGTTCTTCTGCACATTTAACTCAAATAACTCCTGTTGCAACTAAGATTCATCTCTAGTTTCAGTCCTTTGGGGCAATAGAGAAGAGCTGGTTATTAGCACCTATTTTGTATGTAAACCACTCTGAAACCTTAAAGTGCTTTTATCAAGTTATTAATTATTAAGATAGCCTGCAAATGTTTGTTGACCATTGGTGCCCTGGCTTTCAGGTACTCTTTAGCCTTAGGATGCAGATAGTTTTACCTCTGCTCCCCACAAAGGAGCACACTGACATTGGATGGGAGGGGACAGGAGGAGAAGACATATTCTAGGTGGATAGATTTCTCTTTTTTTTTAATGTATTTATTCAGTTTTAGTTTTCAATATTCATTTCCATAAGATTTTGAGTTCTAAATTTTCTCCCCTTCCCTAAGATGGCATGGAATCTGATGTAGGCTATACATGTACTATCATATTAAACATATTTCCACGTTAGTCATATTGTAAAGAAGAATCACAACCAAAGGGAAAACCATGAGAAAGAAAAAACAAAAAAGAGAGAGAGAGAGAGAAAGAATAGTGTGCTTCGATCTGCATTCAGACCTCATAGTTCTTTCTCTGGATGTGTATAGCATTTTACGTCATGAGTCTTTTGGAGTTGTCTTAGATTCTTGCATTGCTGAGAAAAGCCAAGTCTATCAAAGTTGGTTATTGTATAATGTTGCTGTTACTGTGTACAATGTTCTCCTGGTTCTGTTCACTTCACTTAGCATCAGTTCATGCAAGTCTTTCCAGATTTTTCTGAAGTCCGCTTGCTCATCATTTCTTATGGAATAGTATTCCATTACATTCATATACTACAACCTGTTCAGCCATTCCCCCCAGTTGATGGGCATCCCTTCAATTTCCAGTTCTTGGCTACCACAAAAAACTGCTATAAATATTTTTGTATATGTGGGTCCTTTTCCCTTTTTTATGATCTCTTTGTGATACAGACCTAGTAATAGTGTTGCTGGATCAAAGGGTATGCACAGTTTTATAGCCCTATTTGGACATAGTTTCAAATTGCTCTCCAGAATGGCTGGATCAGTTTACAACTTAGGTGGATATATTTCAAGGACATTTCTTTTGGAGAAGTTTTCAGTATCTCCAATGTCAGGCATCCCACCTGAGCCTCATCTATTAATCTATAAGAGAATTCAAGCATGATAACTATAGTGGAAGAATCATACTCTGTAAATTGTCTAATCTTCTTTAGCTCATGAGATAGTGTGGGTCAACTTATGAGGGTGGGGGGGAAGGTCAAGTTTTGCAGCTCAGACTGCTATTTCTTTGTTAGATCATATGTAAAGAAAATGCCACATCAGCCATCAGTTGTACTAGTGAGGATTTGATGACTAGAGCAAAGCCATGCCTTGGTATCTCAGAGTCTATGGCAAGACTATAGTCCTAAAGTCTACCCTGAAACATATTCCCCCTTCCCTCATTCTGGAGGCCAGTGACTTCATGGGGTAGGTGCTGTTATTTTAGGAAGGTCCTGCCCTGCCCTACCCTCCTGCTTCCCTCCTCCAGAGGGAAATGCCTTTAAGAGGAAGCAAAGCATTTGGCTCCACAAGTAGAAGGGAAGAACAAAACAAAACAAAACAAAACCCAATGAAACCGAAAACACTCCTAAAAGAGGAGGAAAGTGATTGCCATTCCCATAAAGATATCTTCAGAATCTTCCAGTAGAGCAGGGTTTGTCCTATCAGGGATAAATAATCAGAGAGAACAGACTACCTCAAGGCAAAGTGGGAGAAGCAAGGAGCAACAGCCTATGGCTGGTCATCTATTTCAAAATGCTTTTGATGACTGAAAGGGAACACACAGGAAATAAATTGTCAGGGTAATTTTTTTTTGGCTTTGAAGTTTCATATTTTTTTTCTTCTCTCAAAATGTAGATCCTAGAACCGTAGATTTAGGACTGATAAGGACCTTAAAGATCTAGTCCAGGGGTGGGGAACCTGTGGCCTTCTAGGTCCTTGGGGGCAGCCTTTTGACTGAGCTCAAGTTTTACAGAAAACATCCTTTTATTAAGGGGATTTGTTCTGTGAAGTTTAGACTCGCTCAGTCAAAGGACCATACTTGAGGATCTACAGGGCCACATGTGGCCTTGAGGCAGCAGGGTACCCACCCCTGACTAGTCCAACTCCCTCATTTTACAGATGAGGAAGATCACAGGGTAGTGAGTGATTGAGCTAGGATTTAAACCCAGATCTTCAGATCTCAAATTCTTTTTCCATGGCATCATGTGGCATCCTTGGATGGATTTTGTGGCTTCAGCCCTCATTTTCTTCAACTGTTCATGCTACTATTAACTTTATAATAAAATATTTTCATTTAAGAAAAAACTTTCAACAGAAGATTCAGGAGACACACCTTAAACAAGTTCTTTAAAAGTGAAAATTAAAAACTCACAAGGTCTGGGACTAGTATTCATCCTTTGCACATAGCCGGTGGCTAAGCTGGCCATAGCTTCAGCTATAGCCTGCTGGGCAAAGAATTAAAACCACAACTGCTAGAACTCCAGTTGGCTACTGCCCCATAATGTCCTGTGAAATGAAGGACCGCCCATACATTGTTGAGAGTTCTCTGCTCTTGTTTTGGATACCAAAGCACCTGGACAGGGGCCTTATTCCTTCCAAGAGCCAGAGAACTGACAGAAAAAAAAAAAAGGCGTTCACTCACCTTTAGTTAGAGGTATGTGGGTGCTCTTACCTGAAGCCACATGATCAGAGGCAGTTCTGTGAAGTTTTTGCAGGGGTTGTTGGCATAGTAGAGCCACCAGAACATGGATGCATTACTCCGGACTGTCACATAATCCCACGCTTCCTTGCCTTCCTCTATTGGCTGAATTAGAGCAATGCCTAAAAAAAGAAGCTACATTTATCTATCTATCCATTCATTCATTCATTCATTGAACAGTGCCCAAATAATTGGCTATACTGGCTTGGGGGGGGGGATTTATTTCAGATTTCAGAGTTTTATCTTCACCCCCCCGCTCCCCATAGCACTACTAGTAGAGGTGATTGTCATCGTGATAGCAGCAGCTTCTTCTCTTTTTTTCCACATATTTTATAGAGAGGCAGCTTGTCAAAGCAGAACACTAGCCTTGAGGTTAGGAAGACTGTGGTTCAAGCCCTGCCCCTGACTATGTAACCCTGGGCAAGTCACTTAACCTCAGGGTTCTAGGGGTATGCTCTGTGTCAAACCCCAATTTAAAAACAGTCTGTTCTAAGAAAGAGACAAATGAAATTAGGGGATGTGTGTCCACATTCTAATTTCTCTCAGGCTAGCTTGACATGTATTACATGGGAGTCACAATCCAGAACTAGGACCCCCCTAAGGGGGCCAGTCCAGAACTGACTCGATTTGGGATTTGGGGGTACTGGGTTATATGTCCTTCAAAGAGTAGGTGTTCCTAAGAGGAGCCAATCAACTCTGATTGGTCAACACACTGGGAGGTGGGCTATATTAAAATGAGGTCTTGAGTACGTGATAATCTCGGTCAACAGGGGCTAATATCATCCCGCCATTTGGACTGAGAAAATACCACCCCCAGCTTTGGGCTATCTAGGCAGAAGAATGTGTTTGCAACCAAACTTCAGCAGATTAAATCAATTTAGGCTAGGGTTGGAGTTTGACCAGGATAAGACTCAATGCAATCTTATTATCAGTAATGTCCTTTTAAAGAACTTTTCAGAAGGAGGCTGACTGGAGTGGGAAGCTCTGAGAATAATTTTTCACATCTGTAAGGCAGTTTTGTTGTTCAGTCATTTCAGTCATGTGATTCTTTGTGATACTATTTGGGGTTTTCTTGCAAAGATACTGTAGTAGTTTGCCATTTCCTTCTCCAGCTCATTTTACAGGCGATGAAACTGAGGCAAACAGGAAGTGACTTACCCACTAGTGTCTGAGGCTGGACTTGAACTCGGATTTTCCTGACTCCACGCCCGGCACTCTATTCATTTCACCACCTAGCTGCCCCACCCCAAGGCAGTAGGGATGCTGATCTGAACTGGACAGAGTTTCCCTAACAGGACTTTTTCATACCAATGAAATCAAAGGTCAAGTCCAAAAGAATAAAAGTAAAACCAACAACCAAAACCCCTCAAACAGACACTTAGGTGGCATTTTATTATTCCAGCTAGCTTCACAATGATCCCTGGAGAATTTATTATTAATGTCTAAACTTTACACATGAAGGAACATAGGCTGAAGAAGGTTCAACGATTTGATCAAGGTCACATACTCTAAGCCTGGTTCAGTCCCTGACTCTCTGGCCTCCTTCTGGACCTCTGCCCACAGTGATCATCTCCAAGCTAATGGCTGCTTCACATCCACAGGTTCCTCATCTGATTGGTGATATTTCCCCAAACCTCCATTTGAGTTAGTTTCCAAGTCAGTCATATTCTTTCCAAACCTGATTCAGCCCAATGATTCCCCAGACTCTTTCTGGGCCTTGCCCCCATGTCTGTGCTGTCCTCCTCACTTATTTTCAGTCCCTTTTTATATGTTGTCATCTCCCATTGGAATGTAAGCTCCTAGAGGGAAGGTGTTGTCTTTTTTTAAAATTGTATTTGTATCCTCAGTACTTAGTATAGAACTCAGTACATAATAAGTGCTTAATAAATTCGTTCTCTGTTTTTCTCTGTCTCTCATTGCAGACAGGACTAGGAAACAATTCTTTTGATTCCAAGTCCAATGCTGGATCTACTTTGGAATTATTGTGCCTTTTACACTATAGCTCAATGGTGCTTTAGCATTCTAAAACCTCTCTCCCCACACCTCAGAGACAGGATAAAATTAGAAACATGAACCTAAGAATCGCTGATGCTCAAATGCCTTTAGATAGGACCAAAATTAAGTTAAATGGATCAGGATTTCACCAGTTTTTCTAAAACCTCCAAGGAATATTCACCTGTTGTGTATGTTTTGTTTTGTTTTAATCTAAAAACCTACACTGTGGAGAAGTTATTCTGTAAGTCTAACCTAAATCCTTCATACTGAAGGTTGAATCCACTTCCTACAATGCCTCCTTTTGTTGAACATATACCTTGCTTCCAAATGCCATTATACTGCCTTCACCTCACACCAACATGGCCTTTCTGTATCAGATGGAAAGTGGAACAGGGTTCAAAAATAAAGTGAGAGGAGGGAAACAGGAAGTTTTGTTAGATTTCCACCCCTGACTTGATTTTTCTGCTTTCCTATTTCTTTCTCCCTTTAGCTTCAAACCTTCACTCTGTGGCAGAGGAGTGAGATGATGGTGATGATAACTTACACATATGAGCACTTTAGCATTTGCAAAGGGCTTCATATACTCTATGTCTTTTGCCTCACCCCAAAACACTATGAGATAAGGTAGACGAGCACTATTATTCCCATCTCGTAGATATGAAACTGAGCAACAGGAAGGTGATTTGTCCATAAAAGCACAATTAGCAAATGTAGGAAGCATAGCCTCTCTTCATACTACACTGTAATGTTTCTTTGGCAGAAAAAGAACAGATGGATGATTGCTGAGGGAGGAGATTAGGATAGCTAGCCAAAAGGAGACAAAAATGTGAGCAGAGGAAGACAAAAGTCAGTCAACCAACAAGCATTTATTAAATGTTTACTATACACCAGCCACTGGGCTAAGTGCCTAAGTGCTGTAGACACAAAGAAAGGCAAAAAACTCTGTCCCTGCCCTCAAGAGCTCCAGTCTAATGAGAGAGACAGCATGTACACAACTATGTACATCCAAGATATGTACAGGGCAGAAGAAAGGAATTCTCAGAGGGAAGACACTAGCATTAAGGTGGACCGGAAAGGCTTCTTGGAGAAGGGGTTTTGACTGAGAAGGAAACCAAGAAGAGCCAGCAGGCAGAGAGGAGGAGATGGGAGGAGATGTTCTAGAAATGGCGGATAGGTAGTGAAATTGCCCAGAGTGGGAGGTGGAATATCTTGTTCAAAAAGGCCAGAGTCACTGTATTGTCGAGTATGGGGGCAAGGAGGGAGAGGTACAAGGTACAAAGTTACAAGAAGACTGAGAGGTAGGAAGGGACCAGGGCACAAAGGGCTTTAAAAGCCCCAACTAAGACTTTATATTTGATTCAGGAGATGATGAGGAGCCATTATAGTTTATTGAGTGTGGGAGGAGAGAGTGTGGCTTGCTTTTAAGGAATATTTAGTAGCTGAGAGGCTGGATTGGAGTGAAAAAAAATGCAGATTAAGGGGAACAGAAAGTGGCCCATATCAGGAGACAGGAGGACAGCAGAAAATATACAGAAGGTTAGTTTTTTGTTTCCATTCCCACTTATGGAGACACTATAATAAGCTGATATTTGATCTACATCAGCACTTTAAGGTTCACAAAATACATGATCTCATTTAAGCCTCACATGACCCTGCGGAGGTAGGGTCTGTTATTACCCCCATTATGCAGATAAGAAATCTGGCTCAGAGAGATTACTAAATGATTCAGGCAGAATTTGAATCCAGCTCTTCTTTATTCTTTATTAAGACCAGTCCTTTATCCATGACAGGATGCTGTTTTTCGGCAGTTGGGTGGTGCAGTAGATAGAGTTCTGGGCCTAGAGTCAGGAAGACCTGAGTTCAAATCTGACCTCAGACACTAGCTGTGTGACCCTCAGCAAGTCACTTCACCCTGTTTGCCTCAGTTTCCTCATCTGTAAAAGGAGCTGGAGAAGGAAATGGCAAACCATTCCAGTATCTTTGCCAAGAAAACCCCAAAATGGGCTCACAAAGAGTCCCCAACAACAATAATATGCTATCTTTAAGTCAGAAGAGAAAGGGGAAATGCTGGGATTCCCAATTTATAAAAGGCAAAACTGTGGTATTGGGCAAACTAGGCAACTGGAAGGTCATAGACTTTTTACCTCCAGAGTTCTGACTCCAAGTCTCTCTCCTTGAACCACCTGGCCCGTGATAACAAGCAATGATTGCTAAATATGAAAAAAGCTTCCTCTAAGGCTTTCATGTGGCCTCTCAAAAAAGCTTCATGAAATAAGTTGGGTTAAATACTAATTTGTAAAACAAACTTAAGAGAAAATAGAGAATGAGGGACTTGTTGCTGTTGTTTGTATATAGGTGGGGACAGAACAAGGGTTCTCATGCTTTCCAGGGGACTCCCAGTTTTTTAACTGCAGAAAGTCCCTCAAAGGGTTGCCTGAAGGCATTGGGATATTAAGTGACTTGCCCATGGTCACATGGTTAGTATCCTAGAAAGGAATGGAACCCAAGGTCTGCCCTGTACAGGCTGCTTCTCAGAGCATCAAAGAGGCATCAGAGGAAGAAGATATTCTTTTGTCTTGAGGTAAACGAGACTGTTTTTAAAAGTTTCTTCTTCCTCTGGATCTTTCAACTCAAAATTTTAGACAAGAGAACATCATTTAGCCCAGCCCACCCAAACACAGCACAAAAAGGGAAGTCTCAGCCCTGGGTTGAGACCAGATTGCATGGTGACCAGCTCTTCCACACTGAGAAAGAATAACCATTCACTTACATACGACTTTCCTTCACAATAACCCTGTGGGCTGGGTCACATACGTTCTTCTTTTACAGATAAATAAACAGGCCCAGAAAACTTCAAGTGACTTGTCCTCAGTCCAACTAGTATATGTCTAAAGCAGGACTTGAACCTAGGTCTCAGAAGATCAATCAGAGATCCAGGATTAGAAGGGATCCTAGAACTCATCTGAGACCCCACTCCTATTTTACAGATGGGGTAGCTGAGATCCAGATTAAGAAAGTGACTTTCTAGTAACTAGATAACTTTCACACATCTAGTAAGAGGCAGAGTCAGCATTCAAACTCACGCCCTGTGACTACAAGTTCAGGGCTCTTTCTTCCTCCTCTCACGAGAACAGCTCATTTATACAGAGTCCTTCAGGTTTTTACAAAGTTCTTTCTCTAGGAGGGTAAGTAGTAAAAATAAAATTAACCTCCCCATTTCACAGATGAGAAAAACTGTGGCTCTCTCAGGGTCCCTCAGTTTGTGGGGGAAGTAGGCCTGGAACTCAGGTCTCCTGCCTCCAGCTCTGAACAAGGCAACTCTTAGCTTCACTGTGGTTGTTTTTATTAAAGATTAACCCCAGTAGAAACACAGTAGATGAAATCCAGCTAAAGGGGAGAGAAGGAATAGCACCAACTTCCCTCTTCCGAGACAGAAGCAACGGCCTCAGCGACAGCAACGAAGGTGCCAAACCTACCGGGGCTCAGACTCGGCAGCAACAGCAGGGCAGCAAGGTGCCAGGGGACTAGCTCCATGACGACTGCGGTGGACGAAGCGGCCGTGACGGCAACAGCAGAGGTGGGAACAGCAGCGGGGCAGGAGTTTTACCCAGTAATCATATGACCTACCGGATGGGAGGAGGAGAAAAGGGGGCTGGGGAGGGCTGGTTTGGGTAAGGATGTCAGTCACGCTTTCTCCAGGGCTCCCTCTGGCCCTTCCACTTGGCTATTACAAGGCAGGTGGCAAAGAAGCCTCTATTTAGCTCCTAGGGGAGCTATACAGATGGGATAGCTGAGGTGGGAGGTGGGAGGAGTGGAGATTTGGGCTTCCAGTACTGTCAAATAGCTGTCAACTCATTTTTTGCAGATGTAATTGGGATGGGGGAGGGGTGGAGAAGAGGAAATTCAAGGATGCTTGAAATAGGAATACAAGGGGCCCTGGGAGGATGCTGTACAATATTGCCCCCATTTTGTTTTTAAGCCTGGATATGTTAAACTTGCTGTTACTCCAACTGTGAGACAGGGACCTTGAAATCAGTGGGCATGGGCTTTCTTGATCCCTACCCCACCCTGCCAGCCTCTAGGACCTCAGCCCTGAAATGACCTTGTATTTATTTTTTATCTGTTTTGTAGATGGTGTACAGGTGCTGGACTTGCAGTTAGGAAGTCTTGGATTCATATCCTGCCTCATACTCTCTAGCTCTCTATGCCTTAGTTATTCACCTAGAAAATGAAGAGATTGGACTCAGTTGCCTCCAAGGTCTCTACCAGCTTTAAGTCTATGATCCTATGACCAAATACATAGTAGTGCTATGTAAGTGTTTGGTAGTAGTTACCCCTTCCACATCTCGACTTTTCCCATCCCACTTCAATATATCTTGGGTTGGCATAAGAAATTAAATGGGAATTTGGGAGTTTTGCAGAAGCTACAGATGACCCGTGAAGGCCAGCAGACGAAACTGAGCCTGTGATCAAATACTCCTCGTGGGCAGAGATTGTTTTCTTTTTGTCTTTAATGATGGTTAGCTTGTTTGTTTAATGGACCTGTGAGTTCATTGGAACTTCCTGTAAGATTTCCTCTACCTCTGCAGATCATCGAGGGGTAACTGCTCTTCATCTTAGAATCTAGGAAGCTTGAGGCACTGAGAGGTTAGGCAATTTGTCCAGAGTCACACAGCTAGTATGTGTCAGAGGTGGAACTCAACCCAAGTCTTCCTGACTCTGAGGCTAGCTAGCTCCTCCTTCCAGTGGTTCTCCAACTTATTTTGCCTGTGATACAGTATTCTTTCCCACAGAGTCACTACAAATTGAACTTTGGGAAGAACAAAGACTGGGAGACCCTCTAATGGGCAGTTTTCCTCTGATCACAGCAGCCCTTTTGTTCAGTTCTTGGTGAGTTCAAAGCTTGAACTGTTCTGAGCTCATTGTATGTGTAATAGTCAAGTTTTGTTTATTTTTTTTTTGAAATCTATTCTAAGTATGCTAGGTAAATAAAACGTGTGGCAAAATTATTTATGTTGTTCTTCAGTTGTGTCTGACTTTTAGTGACCCTATTTTGGGTTTTCTTGGTAAAGATCCTGGAATAGTTTGCCATTTCCTTCTCCAGCTCATTTTACAGATAAGGAAACTGAAGCAAACAGGGTTAAGTGACTTGTCCAGGGCCACATAGCTAGGAAGTGTCTGAAGCTAGATTTGAACTCAGTAAGATGAGTCTTTCTGACTCCAGGCCCAGCGCTTCATCCACTCTGCCACCTAGCTGCCCTAAAGTCATTTATAGATTTTCCTGTATCTGTAATAACAACAACATTGAAAATTTCACCAACTGCACACCTCACAAAGCCCATGGACCACTCTTGGAGAGCCATTATTCCATTCACTATGCAACAGGTGTCTCACATATATGACAAGTATATACTTGTCAAGTATATACAAAGTACATACCAGGTAATTTCTCCAGGGTATGGGGAGGCAAATAGAAGTCAGGAGGGAATGAGGAAAGATCCCATATAAGATTTGGCCCTAGAGCTGATCTTTGAAGGAAGCTAGAGATTCTAAGTAAAGGTAAAGACAGAGAGCTTTCCAGGCCCTGGGGACACACCCCGTTCCATGGCGTGGTGATGAGAGATGGAGTGTCCTATGTAGGCAACATTGAAAAGGCCAGTTTGGCTGAACAATAGAGTACATAGAGGTGACTAATGAGTGACAAGTCTGGAAAGGCAAGCTGGAGCCAGACTGTACAGAGATCTAAATGTCAAACAATTTCATTTTGATGCTATAGTAAATAAGAAGCTTCTTAAAGGGGAGTGATGTGATCAGACGTATGATTCAGTAATATCTCTGTGACAGCTTGGTGGAGGATGGATTGAGAGAGAAGAGATTTGAGGCTGAAAGGCTAATTGGGCAGCTGTTTCAATAGTACAGAAGAAAGAAAAGAAGGAATTTCTATTACCCGGTGGAAGGCCGGGTGGGTCTTGGCAGGGTAATGATGAAAGAACTTCTGGTGAGGGTTTCAGGGAATAGGTAAGATAGTCCCAAGAATTCTTGGGCACGGCTCTTAGGCACTCCTCAGAGGAACTTCTACCTCCCTGCCTTCCCTAATGCAGGGCTAAGCCTGAATTTGTGCCCTATTAGGAGGACGGGTTAGAATGGAAGAAAGTAGGGTATTTCTTTAATTTGGAGGATTCATTGCTCCAACTGAGAGTCGAATTAAGTGACTTCCCTAATGACTCCTAGCTGATATAGATAGATCTGGGAGCATGGATTTTGTTTCACTGTGTCTAAGCAGGGGGGCTTTCTACCTTTTTCCAGTTTCCTCCTGGGTAAGCCGCTGGACATCTTTAATGTCCAGCTTCAAATCCATAAAATGAGAGGACTCAATGACCTGAAGGTCCCCATTAGCTCTAAATCTTTGCTCCTGTGATTCTCTAAGTGACCTCACCTGTGTGAGTGAAACTATGTTGCAAAAATTAACCAGCATGGACTGAGGAGTTTGGCATCTCTGGAATGTTTTTAAAGTCTATTTTAAAAATACTTCTCTGGGGCAAGAGATAAACCCATGCTCTCTTCTTGGTCATTTCTGGGTCATCATTTTTCTAGGGTTAACGAGAGAGAACTATGTGGGACATATGGGTGGAGGGCAAGTGATTAAGAAATAAAACTGTGAATCCCCCTGTAACTCCACAAACCTTTGAAATGTCTCTGAAACTGGAAGGCAAGTCCCATAGGTCAGTGTTGGACAACTGACTAAGAAGAGGAAAAGATAGTAGATGTAATTCTTGCTAGAAATTTTCTTCAGGTCTTAGAAATTTTTCTTGTTATCAGAAGAAAGGATGTTCCTGTTCTTCTCTCCACTTTTCAAATAATAACTGACATTTATGTAGTTCTTTACAGATATTATCCCATTTGATCCTCACAACAACCCCATGAGATAAGGTGGTACAAATATTATCATTCCCATTTTACAAATCATGAAACCTGCGGTCCAGATATTATGAATTTCCCATGGTAACATAGCTAATAATAATAAGAAGAATGATAATAATAATAATAATAATAATAATAATAATAATAATAAATGGCAAAGGGGAGACTTGAATCCAGGTCTGTTGATTTCTAATCCAGGACTTGGCTTTCCACTATATCATGCTGCCTCTCCATGAACATTGAGTCACCTTGAAATGATTCCTTTTTTCTGAGTTTGTATCTGAAAAACTGAACTCATTTAAAACTGTCAAGTTTGAGAGCTGAGACCTGAGATTGATATGTGCTATTAACAACCTAAAACACTTCCCTGTGGTGTGATTTTTTTATTATTATTCCTCACAGCTGCTTGCAAACCTATTTCCATCTTCAGTTTCTGAATTTAAAATTCAAAATTGTGCATCTATTTGGGCCAAAATAATTATTCACAGTAAGTGTAGGGGGACATGAAGATGAAGTTAAATCTATTCACTCCTGACCTGAAATCACTCTACGTGCCTCTAGGGCAGAGACAAGTTTGTTCAAATGACCTTATATATCTGGTTGACCTAGCAGAGTCATATACATGTGGGTACCTTGTAGGTATTCACTAAATACCGACCTATTATTTGACACTTAATACTGTATCCTCTAGCAAATCACTGGCATTTCCATTAACCCCGCCCTCAGAAAGGCAAAAGATGTGCTGATAAAAAAAACAAACAAACCCTGAGTAAGGCATACTTTTTTTTTTCTGGGTAATCATTTTATTAGTTATTAATGAAAAGATGGTCATGTAAGGTGTATTTCTTCTGGCTGCCCTTGGTTAACCAGAATGATTCCGACTCTTGACAAAGCAATGTGGCCTCCTCTCACTGAGGAGTAATATATGTTGCAGTAATGTAGTAGAAGGCAAGCCTTTATGTTCTTTTTTTTCTTTTCTTCTTCCTTTTCTTTTCTTTTGGTGGTAAGGAACAAGGACAACTTTGGAAATGGACTGCTTAGCTTGCCTTCATGAGGATGTAGTCAACCTGCTTTGAAAAAGTTAACCTGGCAGGACCAGTGGCATCCATTCCAAGCACTGCACCAAGATAACTCAGCAACCTAAATAGACCCTCCTAGATAAAAAGGAAGAATGGCCCATTCCATACACCTACTGACAAAGTTTTCTAAATTTGGTAGGAGGATGGTATAGGAGTGGTTAACCCAAGAGTGGAAGGGTTGCTGAGGAGACTGAAGACAAGGGGGGATCTGGTCTCTGGTCAATACTTGAGAGGGGTGAAACATAATAACCTTCGGCTGTGGCCTGCCTTACAGTTTACAAAATGCTTCCCCTCACTTTAACAGTGAAGTAGGTTGTGTGGTTACCCTCATTTTGCAAAGCAGCTGAAGTGACATGCCCAAGATCCCCACCTTTAAGTGTCTGAGCACAGATGAGAATCTGAACTTCAGAGCTAAGCTCTGAATCAAGGATTCTGAGAGGGGGAGAATAGGGAGTATATTCTAGGCACAGGAGGAGGAGTGTGCAAAGGCAAGAGCTGAAATGCCATGTGTGATAGAGTGTAGTAACACCAGTTTGGCAGAAGTGGAGAATGCAAAGAGGGAAGTAACAGGACTTGAAAGTTAAAGGAATGACACATGCATTTATGAAGTTCTTAA